AGGAATCCCAACTAAAGTGATTTATGACAGAAAACATTATCTCATAGGAGACAGATGGTGGGCCCCTCTGTTGAGGAAGTTCAGCACAAAAAACTTAAGGACTACAACAGAATCCCTTCCCCTTACAGGAGTAAAAGTACAAGAGTCCATATTCCAACAGGTAAAAAGGTTTTATATTAAAACAGATATGTCATAAAAGAACTAAAAAGAGACTTAGGGAGGATCTACAAAATCCAAATTTGCTAAATGGGTCATGAGAACCAAAAAAGTAAAAATGAATAATAAACTAGCGAGCAGCTAAGATAAAAATAAAAAACACACCCGCAACCACAAAGAAGCCTTCACAAGTCTAGGGACTGTACTAAGTTTAAAAAACACAGACTGCTCTTTGGGTCATAAAGTTCTTGTGAGTGAAGGGATATGTCTAGCACCGATTAATAATTATATGCTTACTGTTTTTTGAAAGATTATGTAATTGAATTATTGCCAAGCTCTTGTTGCTCATTGTATGACTTGATAGTTTTCTTTTCTGTATATAAACTGCTGATTTACAAAAATACAATTACAACAGATTCAAACCACTTCTAAATGTGTTGTCTGTCTGTCATTCACCGAATCCTTGCCTTCCTGACTACCCAAGCTCTGGTCCCCCTACGGTCGTGGTACCCCCGATGGGCCAGTCCGTGACATTTAGTTGTATGTATGTATGTGAAACCCACTCAGAGAAGGCCCAATCACAGATCACTGTAGAGTCTTACAATCACAAAAAGCCTTTCTTCAAATAAATTTTTCCAAATTGTTTTTAGCTACATGTCCCCTGACACACTTTCTGAATCCCTTCCTATCTTTTCACCTACTTATTCCTTTGTATTATTTATCCTTAGGTTTTAAAAGCCATTTAATTTTCTTCCCCATACTTTTATTGTTATTTAACTAGAAAATTCTAAACAGAGAGGCTGGGTATCTTGTATCTTGCTTTCACTACTTCTTTTCTTAAAATACTTGTATTATTTAAAACAATTTTTAAATTTAAATATATTTTGATCATATTGTTCCCCCAAGTCCTTCCAGTTCCTCTCTTCATCCTTATTCCCCCTACTTTAAGTTCTTTATCAACAAACAAATGTAAAAACAATCCCTCTAAACACCAAGAAAACAAAATAAATCCCCCCAAAAAGAAACAAAACAAAAAACATCAAAGTAACCAAATAAAAGTACACATATGTGTATGTGCATGTACACACACACACATACACACACACACACACACACATACACACACACACACATACACATACACATACACACACACACACACACACAAATCTGTTGTGGGATGTCCTTCTGTATGCTGTAAATATGTGTTGCTCTCATTGGTTATAATATAGCTGTTTAGCCAATGGTGAGGCAAAATAAAGCTAGGCAGTACAATCAAACTGAAGACAGATGAAGAAGGGTAAAGTCAGGGCAGATGCTGCAAGCTACCCAAGGAGCAAGATGCCAAAGGACTGGTAAGCCACAGGCCATGAGGTGATGCATAGTTTAATAGAAATAGGTTAATTTAAATGTAAAAGCTAGTCAGTAATAAGCCTGAGCCATCAGCCAATCATTTATATTTAATATAAACCTCTGAATGGTAATTTGGGAAGTGACTTCCATGTATAATTGGTTATATGGGACAGAAAGCTCTGCCTCCAATTACATATGGCACTCCAACATGCCACACATACGTCCACATAAAGCCTGAGAAAGCTTAGAAAAAAGGGTTCTAAAACACAGAAATGGAGCCAAAAATATCTTCCTAGTTATGTTTCTCATGTGGGCCATGGTATAGAGATACATTGGCATTCTGGCTTTAGCTATAGTGTAGAGGATTCCTGCATTCTCACACAAGCCACAGTACAAGTATGAGCTGTGTGGTAGATTTAGGGTTTGCTCATACAGCTAAAATGGGTTAAAGATACACAATAAAAACAGATTCAGGCAAAAAGTCCTCTAAACAAGTCACAGTATATTCAAAAGATATGCATAGGCTTAGAGGAGAGAAGAGAAAGGGTATAGACAGACATAAATTTTAAAAATTATTTAAATAAAGTCCTTGAAAGAGAAATAGAGTAATAAAAATTATGATAAGCCATGTAAGGACAGAAAATGCACAGAGAGTCAAGATTATGTATATTGTTTTGTTGTTCTTAAAATTTTTGACTGCTATGAGAAATTTGATTATGGAAGCTGCTGGATTAAACCAACCAATATATTTTAAAAAATCTTGATTTCAAAATTTAAGTCAAAAGGTATGTCATTTTTGGGGAGAGGTTATGTTTTTATTTCCACAGAAAATGAGAGGCCATGGATCCATTCTGGGTTAAGGAACATCAGGTTTGATCAAGGAAGATCCCCTGAAATCCTGACTACAGATGTGGTAAAATAAACCTAAAGTAACTACAAGACACGACATGTATTTTACTTGCTCAAACATAAAACAAAAATTACCTTTGACTGGTTTGTGTGTAATCCACAGTTTATATTTGTATTTATACAGATATATATGTTACCCTTAAAAGTTTGTGTATTTTCAGAACAAGGGACCAGACACAAATAAAATTGTATGGCCCAGATGATTCAACATTTCAGTATACCTCTGTTATAGTTTCTTCTGAGTTCCGCATCCAAAACAGCTTCAAGGGTTCTGGTTGAGATGGACCAGCCACACAAAATACCCTAGTCAGGATTTGACCATATTTCTAAATTTTCTCAGGGTCCCCATAAGATTACCAGTGTCCCCAATCAACAGGATGTATTTAGAGAACTACACCCAAACTCCCAAAATATTGTTTATGAATGTTTGCTTTCATTTTAGGGGGGGTTGTTTATAAATTGGTCGTAGTCAATCTCTTTCTAAAGAAGAAATGGGGATATAAAACTGATAAAGAGGGTAGATTATTGAATCTACTTTAATCCAAAAAAAAAACAACTGTTAATCTCAAAATATTTTATATTGGTATGGATTTTAATTTATTGATACAAATTTAAAGTTCATTTTGTTATACTGTATGTATATTTCTACTATTGTTTGAGGTATTGTGTTTATACAGCTCATTAAAAAATGTAATGTATAATAAAAATACAGATTAATAGTCATCTATAGTAGTCAAACTTATAGTCATGTTAGTTTGGTTTTCTAGACATACAAAGATATATTTCAGTTCGGTTCAGTTAGTTAAGTTCAAATACTTCAAAGAGCTACAGAATATAGCATTTAAAATGTTTTAATAACCTAAGGCTTTTCATGACAGTGAGACATGTCTGTTCCTGGCAGCATCAATCTATTCCCGAGAGGATGATGGGCATGAAGATACTCCATATGGAGTTTATTTTCTTTTTGGCAAAACTGGCCTATTAGGCAAGAAACTGCCCTTGGCTCAACTGCTGACAGTAAGTATACTGTCCAATCTGGAGAAGCAGGATACAAAGGAAAGCAACTACCAAACTTTGCCAAGACAAGGTAGGACAGTCCTTCAAATTTTCATGTTTCTGAAAAAAGTCTTTCAGATATGCTAGGCCTGTAGGCCAAAAATGGTTGCCCCAATGGTACAGAGAAAGTTTGGGTGAAAGTCCAGGCAGCCTGATGTCCCTGTCATTAGGTAACATTACATCCTTCTGGAGACTTTGATGGAGTTGAAGACTAGATAGTTATAACTATAGTTTTTTTTTTCATTGTGATAAGTGGTAAATTAGATATAAAACTTTAGACCCACCAAAATAGATAATTGATTGTTTTCTCTAATTTTTTTTTGAGACAGGGTCTCTCTGTGTAGCTTTGCGCCTTTCCTGGAACTTACTTGGTAGCCCAGGCTGGCCTCGAACTCACAGAGATCCGCCTGGCTCTGCCTCCCAAGTGTTGGGATTAAAGGCGTGCGCCACCACCGCCTGGCTGTTTTCTCTAATTTTATCAAATACAAATAGTATAAATAATATAACTGTAATTCTTGCTTGATAACACTTTTGTTATATATAATTTTACTATGTTAAAGTTAAAAATCTTTCATTTTGATTAGGCAGAAAGGGAGAAATGCTGTGGGGTATCCTTCTGTATACTGTGAATATGTGTTGCTCTCATTGGTTGATAATAAAGGTGTTTGGCCAATGGTGATGCAGAATAAGGTTAGACAGTACAATCAAATTAAAGACAGAGGTGAAGAACAGTGGAGTCAGGGCAGACGCTGTGAGCCACCCATGGAGCAGGATGCCAAAGGACCTGAAAGCCATGGGCCAATGCATAGATTAATAGAAATGGGTTAATTTTTTTTGGGGGGGAGACTTTTTTTATTTTTTACAATTTTTTTTTCATTTTACATACCAATCCCAGTTTCCCCTCCCTCCTCTTCTATCACCCCCCTCTTACCCTCATCCCACCTCCATCCACTCCTCAGAGAGGGTAAGACCTCTCTTGGGGAGTCAACAAAGTCTGCCATACTAAGTTGAGGCAGGACCAAGCCCCTGCCCCCTGTGTCAAGGCTGAACAAGGTAACCAACCCTAGGGAATATGTTCCAAAATGCCAAGAAATATGTTAATTTAAATGTAAGAGCTAGTCTGTAATAAGCCTGAGCCATGGCCAAGCATTTATAATTAATAATATAAGCCTCTGAGTGATAATTTGGGAAGCAACTGCTGGGTATAATTGGGCATACAGGACAGAAAGCTCTATCTCTGATTACACAAACCAAAACAAAAAATAAACAAACAAAAACAACAACAACAGTGGGATCCATTATATATTGTTCAACTACTTTTGAACATGAAGATTGTGCAGGAATAGTTTATATACCCAGTGTTACTCTACTGGAGAAAACTGATTTTCCCTCTCCCATCATAAACTCCCCATTTCTAACAGAATGACTTTCAAAGGTTAGATGCTAAATAACTTTGGATAATGAATAAACTGATGAGCATGAATTACAGTTTAAAATACTTTATTAACACTTATACTCTACAGGAAGATAAACAAATAAAAGTATATACACTTTATTTGTATGAAACAAAGTGAAATAAAGAAAACCAAACACTAAGTATTTATCCTCTTATTATTTTCTTTTCCAGTTTTGCTATCTCATTATTTAACTTGACATTGACTATGTTTTGACTCAGATTTTAGTCACTGAGCCAACAAAACCCTAAGACTGAACAGACTAGTAAATTCAAACTGATGTAGACTTCTCCCTTTCTTCTCATACATCTTTTTTTTTTTAAAAAAAAAAAAGTCCAGTTAGTGCTACCCATGTGGGTGTAGGTGTGGGTTCATCCACTGGAACATGGAGAACTCACCAGTGGCCACACCCTTAAATAAAAGTGACCCTCTCTCCCCAGAATAGCTTCAAACTATTCAAGGGCAGAAAATGTATAAGCAAACTCATTAATAATTTTACATTTAAAGGCATTGAAGCCAATTGAAAGAAACATCTGAAATATTACACAAAAAGCAAAATGAAATTTAAAGTAACAAATATGGCAGAGGAATGCAATGATATTCATTGTGCTCCTTCTATACCTATGCTGCCCATCTACTACTTAAAATATTCACTGTCCTTAATTTCCACATAGGAAATTTTCCTCGGACTTCAATCTATAAAATATAACCTAGAATTAAAAGAGAGAAAAAGGTAAACCTGGAAGTTACTAATATACAACAGAAAAGAAATACAAGCACTTGTTCCTCTCAGCCCATAATAACCCTTCACTATTAGGTAGCTGACAGACCATTACGAACAAATAGTGAGGAAATAGCCTTAGCTATTACTTAGCCTGAGAGGAGCTGCTGGTGTTGGCTTTTGAATGTGAACTGGCCATAGCAGCAGTGCGAGCCCTGGCTGCAGACCTGGCTCGAGCTCTTTCTTCCTCATCTTTCACAGCTATTTCATACAAGGCTTCAAAGGCATCTGGTGTAGTATCATGGATCTTGGCCCAAAACTCCAGGATTTTCATCTTGCTGATTTCAGCCTGGGCTCTGGAACCCCAAGTGAATTCAAAGGATGGAGGATTGCTGGTGGTCACTTGTCGGGACTCCAAGTACTTCAGCCTTACCAAATCTTCAGTGATAACTTTCTTAGGATCTCCGTAGATGAAGTGTTTTCTATTAGCATAGACGCCCATCATATTCAGCACATCCCAGATATCCTTTTCAGAGGCACAGTTATTTTTCATGAAGATCACACCCAGTACCATCATTAATAGGCCAGTATTGGGCATATTTTCCTCACCCTGCACTCCATCAAAGGTATGTTCTAGTTTGTTGAAAAGGGCATAGCAGTGCCTGATAGGATCCACTTCCTTCAGATCAACACCAAAAGCTAGCTCCATGTGCTCTGAGGCTCTCTTTAGGATCTCACTGAAGTCACTTTTTGATGTTTTGACAACAGATCTCAGCATATCTGCCTTTGTAATAACCTCTTTCTTTTGATACTTATCCATCAGGAACTGCACCAGTAAGACTACTTTGCGGTTTATAGGATCTTTATTCCAGGCCACAGTGTCATCAGAGTCATCTGAACTTTTCTCATCTTGGTTTCGGGCACCTGTAGTGTCTGAAATGGTACAGTGCGCTCCTTGCAGCATGTCGGGAGTTGTAGGCATACCAGTATCAGGAATAGATTGATGTGGATACTCATAGAAAGGACCTGGAGAGGCCTGTTCCTCCAGTGCATTTTGAGCACGGACCTGGCGACGCTTCTCCCGGGCACGGAGCTTGCTCTTCTGGCCACGAGGCATGATGTTTGTAGCAAGGAATACGGATAGTGTTGCAAACAGGTTAAGGAAGACGTCACCCTGGAAAACAAAGGATGAGATAATTTTACAATCTCTGTTGGTAGATGCTGCCATTACTCCATGAAAGGCCGCCTCACCGGGTTCCCTCGTACTGACTTAGCACTCAAAAGGAAAGAGGAGATTTAGATCTTGTCATCTCAGTTTCAACTCAAAATATTAACTTTTTTCCTGACCAGTACCGCTTCTCTCTTTGTTAGAGGCTGCCTCCTTCTATACACACTGCATCTCTGATTCCCAAGTGGAAGTATGGCGCGCGTGGGGGGGGGGGGGGGGTGGCCGGGGTCGGGGGAATATGGCAGTAGTTAGAGACACCCGAATTAAACAGCAAGGGTAGGATAATTTGGAGCAGGTCTCTTTGAGGTCTGTGGGGAGAGGGTTCCAGAAGATACCTTGACACTCAGACGTTCCTACGATTCCTCACCAGACGCTTAAACCAGCTTCCTGAAGGCTTCAGAGGCCTCGAAGAAAACCGGAGAATAATGGCAGTTGAAGACAAGGGGATATTACGGCTATCCATTTCCGGTCACGCCCACATAGCCCTTTAAAAAAAACCACGCAGGCGCAGACAGAAGTACGGGGCTCTGTCAGTCAATCATTGTTCCGAAGGCTGGTGTTTCACAGGAATTTAGTAGTTTTGTTTCTTTGACTTCACTGTAGCTTGAATTTTTCACTCTCATGAGCAGAGTCCACCTGCCTTAGATCCAGAATCTCATTTCACTCGAGTCCTGACTATGAAATTAGAAGCCTAAATTCAGTGGCCATTCCTGATATGTTTCACAACAGACAACAGAAGTGGAGTTTTGTGGGGCATCTCGTGTGGATGACAATACGAGTGTTATCAGTCCTTATTCAGTATCTTACCATGACCCATTATAAGTGCTGAGATATTCCTAATCTGCTGACTGTAGAACCTTTGCACCAGGTAAGTCATTAAATATACAAACAATTTAAGTGATATCTGAACAATAATAATCTATTCAACACAAATAGACATATCTTATGACATGAATTGGAATGTCCATTATTTAGTCTGTCACTAAATTTTCAAACTGGCTTTGATAAAGATTTTATGTGTTTTTGTTAAGTCTCTTCTTATAAATATTTTGGGTGTTTTTTTTTAAAAATAAAACTGATATAGGAAACAAATATGTATACTTATAGAATATGAGGTAAAGGTTCAATACATGTATGTATTGATGTTTAAGGTGAATATATTTATCTTAGTAAACATTACTTGTAGTAAAATATATTTTAATTCTAGTTTATTAAAACACAGTGTAGTTTTGGGTGATGGTCACCATACTGTGTGCTAGAACAGCATAAATTTTTATTTTAGTATCCACTGATTGGCCTGTGTTCATCTCTCTGTCTCTGAGTCTTTCCAGTTTTTGCCAACCATTATTCTACTCCTAATTTCTATATGTCAGCTTTTATAAAAATGAATGAGCCTGCCTATATGCATTCAGTATATTAAATGGAAATCAATGGGGTATACAGCTCATTCATTGATTTTTTTCTATTGGAATATTTTAAATGTAAAAGCAGTAAGCTAATGTTTATCTGACAGTATTTTCACAAATAGAGCAATGATAATATAACACAATGAAGAGCACTCCATGGCATGTTCAACTAGAACATCTCACTTTTAGTGATAATGCAGCATACCTATGAACCTGCCAAAACCTGTGTGGGCCTCAGTATCTGTTATTTTAGTTGGTTATATAATATTTATTTTTTGTCACTGCTTATATTAATCAACTTTGTCACTGTGAGAAAATAGTCAAAATAAACAAGTTAAATGAGAAAATGTTTATTTTTGCTCACAATTTGACATCTGATTCTATTATTTCTCTGTCTTTAATGACATGTAAACATAGAAACTGAAGTTCATGGAAAGAGAGTGCTGCTCATCTCATGGTAGCCAGGAAGCATAAAGAGAGGGAAACTGTATGAGGAGAAGATGATATCCTTTTAGGTCATTAAAGTAGTGTTCCTTATCCAAACCATAACAGCGATACTTATTAAAACAAAAGAAGAAACTTACATTCTGTAGGTAACACATAAATTATACAAAAAGTTCAAGAACAAAGATACTAATTTTATTGAGAGGGAATAAATTGTTGAACAAAGACAACAGCTTGTAACTAATTATAATAATAAAATATGTTGTAACTAGTGGTAAAGTTTTCCTTTGTTAAGTGAAAATTGTAGGGACTTAAAAAGGGGAAAAAAACAAAGTTAATTATTTCAAACACTAGAGGCTTTTGCATATTACCTATCAAGTGTTATTTAAAAAAATCTTAAAGAATAGTGTAATGACTGTACTAGAGATGTAGCTCAGTAATATAATACTTGCTTACCATGTGAGAAGCCCTGGGTACAATTTATAGTACACAGAAAAAAAAGAGGACAGAAAGAACAAAGATAAAAGTTTAATTCATTTACAAACATTGTTTGTGAGTTATGGTGTTGAGACAGTTAAAATCAGATCAAATAAAGTGTTTGAATTTGTTGTTTGCTTGTGTTTTCACTTTTAATGGGATATTTAAATCTTGGCCTCTTAGGATGCATTGGCTACCTAGAGGGCAGGTTAAATTACTAATTGCCATATGTTTATGTAAGTCCTAAGAAATAAAATTTTAATCAGACTGCTTTAACAGACTGGTTTATAGATATAAGATATAACTGGATTATAGAATGAGGCTTATAATGATCGCTATTCTTTGTACTAAAATATATGCTTGCAGTTGAGCAATGCAGACATTGAAGGGAGAACTTTACCAAAGTTATGAAAGCAGTAAATGATGAAAAAGAGCTAGAAAAGAAGACTGTGAGAAGTGAGAAAGATTCCTTTATTTATATCAAAGTAACTTTAGTTTCATATACTGCATTCAGCTTTGGTCAATACTTTCTATTGTTACATATCATTTTAATAATTAAATAATTGCTTGACATTAGTCCCAATTATTAAATCAATATTATAGTCACTATGATGAAAGCAATTAATGCATTATTATAAGATTTCTGTCAGTGACAGAATTGTTATAAACATAAACTTATCCCACAAGAAATATTATCTTAGCTTAGTGCTTTTAGAAACCCCATGGCTGCCGGGCGGTGGTGGCGCACGCCTTTAATCCCAGCACTCGGGAGGCAGAGGCAGGCGGATCTCTGTGAGTTCGAGGCCAGCCTGGTCTCCAAAGTGAGTTCCAGGAAAGGCGCAAAGCTACACAGAGAAACCCTGTCTCGAAAAACAAACAAAAAAAAAAAACAAAAAAAAAAACAAAACAAAAACAACAACAACAACAACAAAAAGAAACCCCATGGCTTTTATCAGGTGGAAAAATTAACTATATTTTTTATTCAAGTCAGATAAGATTCTCAGAGTCAGATTTATATATTTTAGAGCAAGGATATGATCTTAGTCTAAGCACCTTGAATAAAAAATTCAACTTCACGCCAAACTATGATGGTGCATGCCTTTAATCCCAGCACTCAGTAGGCAGAGGCAGGGGGGTCTCTGTAAGTTTGAGGCCAGCTTGGTCTGTATAGTGATTTCCAGGACAACCAGAGCTGTTGCACAGAGAAACTCTGTCTCCAAAAAACAATAAATAAATAAATAAATAAATAAATAAATAAATAAATAAATGGATAACTCAACCTTATAAAACTTCTTCCCATTTTAATGTTTTCTGGTCTACATAATACATAACACATATTTCAGTCTAAGGTTATTATTTGGCAATATAATTTGATCATATAATAGACAAAGGGGTGCATATAAAAATGTAAGTAAAAAGTGAGCAGATCCTGCCTCATGGAGCTTACTAGTTTTTATCAAGGAAAGAAAAGATAGATATAAATGCAAGAGAAACACATTTATATACACACTACAAATTGTTGTATGTTTTGAAGAAATGTATATGGAAATAGAACCATAAAAGACTATGTGATCCAACAGGCTTGGGAAGGCTATCCTGGAAAATTAGCATTTAATATTAGAATAATGATGAATATCGTCTAGATTGCAAACAATGGGGTGAAGTTTGAGGATTCTGTCTCTTAAGGAATTGCCTGGGCGAAAGCCTGGTGGCAGGATCAGCATGAATGCAAAGTGAGTGAGGAAACTCTATACTAACAACAAAAACCAAAATCAATAAAAATCCAGTAAAGATTTTAATGCAAGGTGACAATCTGAAACGATACATATTTTTATTTATAAAAAAAAAAAAGACTACTGTGGCCATAATGTAATAAAAAAAAAACCCAACATTTAAATTAATTTGTGTGAAATATTAAGTCTGAAGCACAATAGAAGGTGAATATTATAGAAATATATTCTATAAAAATTTAACACTTTATTATCAAGAGTTTTCATTATAGCATCTATTTGGGATAAATAAAAATGAAATTCATTATTTGCTTTTTTTAAAATTTAATTTAATTTTATTTTACAATACCATTCAGTTCTACATAACAGCCACAGATTCCCTTGTTCTCCCTCTTTCTGCCCCCCTCCCCTTCCCCCCAGCCCATCCCCCATTCCCACCTCCTTCAGGGCAAAGCCTTCCCCGAGGACTGAGATCAACCTGGCAGACTCAGTCCAGGCAGGTCCAGTCCCCTCCTCCCAGACTGAGCCAAGCATCCCTGCATAAGCCCCAGGTTTCAAACAGCCAACTCATGCAATGAGCACAGGACCGGGGTCCCACTGCCTAGATGCCTCCCAAATAGATCAAGCCAATCAACTGTCTCACCTATTCAGAGGGCCTGATCCAGTTGGGGGCCTCTCAGCCTTTGGTTCATAGTTCATGTGTTTCCATTCATTTGGCTATTTGTCCCTGTGCTTTATCCAACCTTGGGTTCAACAATTCTTGCTCATAAAAACCCTCCTTTTCTCACTAATTAGACTCCTGGAGCTCCACCTGGGGCCTAGCCGTGGATGTCTGCATCCAGATTCCTCAGTCCTTGGATGGGGTTTCTGGCACAACTATTAGGGTGTT